AAGACTTTTTTGTTTCTTATTTTCTTTAAGAGAAAATTGGCTGCTTAACGCATTGTGAGCTTACACCATATGTAGATGTAAACTGTCAAGAAGTAAATGGAGAAATAGTTCTGTAAGTTCTAACGTTATATATAAAACAGCATAAAATTAATCCTGTGAAAAGGATGCATATTGTAGTCTCTAGAGGTTACCACAAAACAATATAAGACAAACAGCAAAGCTAAGAATAAAATAGATAAGTTAAATGCTAAGAAATAGTTAATTAATCCAAAAGGAGAGGAGGATAAAGAATAACAAACATGTGGGATAAATGGGATAAATAGAAAACAGTAAGATGGTAGACTTAAATCCAATCCCAGGACGGATTACATACATTTAAACAGACTAAGAACTTCAGTTAAAAGGTAGAGATTTTCAGACCCAACTACTTTGAAATATAAAGACCCTCTTTTTAAGTTTACTACACAACATACATTTTTATAGCTAATAGTAGCCATCTACTCCAAAAACTATGTGCAAATATGTGAAATGTCATTCGAATATCACCTGACAGTGGCTCCAGTATAATCCCTAGGGGAGGAACTGATGTGAGGGTAGTTAATAGCTGACAATAATTGGCACTTTACATTCATTAACTAATTTAATCTTCACCATGACCTTATGAGGAAGTCACTTCCATTGTACTCATTTTATATGGGAGGGGACTAATGCCCAGAGAATGTGATGTGCCCAAGTAACATGCTAGTGAGCTCAGGCTCTTAACTACTCTATGCTGCCTCTCTGCTGAAATTAATCACTGTACTGCATCACCTGAAAGATACTACATCAACAGAGAGGAGGTGTGCAACAACTGCAACAAGCAAAAAGCAAGAGCAAGAGCTGGTCATCAGCCTCCATCCTGACCCAGGGGAGGGGTGCCTGACCAGCAGTACTAATCATTGGCAGGTGTGTGGATGAGGAGACAGGTTCACCTCACTATCCTCATCTGAGAAAACTATCTAACAAGATTTTTTCCACAAACTCCTATTGCTTTAGTTCCAGGTGTCACTGAGCAGCCTTCTGATTATATTCTGATTTTGTTGGCAAAGGACGAAGGCCCTGACTAAGGCATGCAAATGTTCCAGGCTCTGTGGCAGTTAGCACTGTCATTAAAAAGAGTAAACTGGCATCTGACATATGTTTCAGACTCTCCTAAATTTATGAAACATGACTCAAGCTCCCCTGAGCTTTCTCATCTTCAGGTATAGGGTGAAAACAGGACTTCTAGTCCTGCAGATGTTTGAAAGTCCTGGATTAGAATGACTTCATCAAGGTTAAGTTCTCCCTGGAAGATGCACAAACACTCTGGGAGGCTGGGCCTGGGTGGTCAATCAGGCCCTCTAGACATTGGTCTAAACTATCTCATTCTAACTGCAATAAGGTAAGCCAAGAAGATACATTATAATAAATGCATGAGAAAGAATCTGTAAGCATGTTGTAGAGCATATAAATAAAAAGTTGCCAAGAAAATGAAATCCTTATTCATTAAATTTAACCAAATTATTCATCAAAGAACATTCCTTGAGGAAGGCCTCTGTAGAGTTTTATATTAATCATTCACTCCAAACAGTAAGAAAACTGACTTAAAAAAAAAATCCCTCAGAACCTTAAGGTGCCAGCAAGATAAAGATAGTCCATGAAGGCCAGGTGTGCCGAGTAAGCAACTGGCCAATAGAACAAGAGTCAACCAAAATGGATAAAGAAAGCAGTGAAGCCATATAACATCTCCATGCAAAACATGCATGCACAATACTCCTGGATTTGCTATAAAAGATTCACAAAAATAACTCTTCTCTGAAGAAATCCATGAAAATTACCTTTGCTTTAGAGGTAAACCTAAGCCTACTCACCAACCTTTCACTGATTCATTCAGCCACATTTTTGCACAACCCCTGACCCTTTCCCATCCTGTAGCTGATACTCTACAGTGCTTCTCAGATCGTATCTGACCTATCTGGAACACTCTCTCCTGACACCAGCCTTACTAGCTTCCTCATTATAGTCCAGTCTTGGCTCAAACACCTTGGTAAATATGCCTTCCCTGACCTCGATATGTGAAAGAGCACCTCCCAATCCCACCACTTTTTATCTTGTTACCCTGCATAATTTTTCTCCACTTATCACTAATGTATTTGCTGCCTGTCTCTCTTCAGTAAAGGAAGCTCCATGAGAGTAGAAATTTTGTGTTTTACTTTATGCTGTACTCATACAATTTAGAACAGTGCCTGGCAAGAGAATACAACATAAATACTTGCAATTCAAAGTCTAATAGGGAAGACAGGTCTAAGCTGACAGACCTCATAAAGCAAGGCAATGTGGTGGCATAAATGAGTCACAATGAGCTTGGCCCAGAAGAGGGAGAAACCATTCCTGGAGGAAGAGATGCAGAGCAGGTTGAGAAGGAAGGGTAGAAGCAGGGGCGTTCCAGCATGGAAATCATCATGTGAAAAGGCACAAGTCATAAAGGGTCATTCACACTTGAGGAGCCTCGTCTGGCTGCAAGAAGGTGAATGGTGAAAGTGACAGAAGAAAGACAAAGTGACAGAAGAAAGATAAGAGAACAGTGCACACACGCCAGGGCAATGAGTCACTGAGGGGTTTTAAGGTGAGAAACAGCATGGCCAGATTTGTTTTTTACAAAAGTAGAGATGCAGGGTGGATGGTGGGAAGAGGGACTCTGCAGTCTGGGAGACCATTTAGGAGATTCCTGCAAAAGTCTCCACAAAGGTCAAAGGTGCTAAAACTGCAGCAGCAGCATTGAGGATGGAAATAAAACAGATGTCTTGACTGGGTAAGAAGATCTCACTTTTTAACTCTCTCTCTCCACAAAAGTCTCCACAAAGGTCAATGGTGCTAAAACTACAGCAGCAGTGTTGAGGATGGAGATAAAATGTCTCGACTGGGTAAGAAGAACCCATTTTTCAAGTCAGTCTCTCTGTCTCTCTCTCTCTCTCTCTCTCTCCCCTTCCCTCCCTCCCCCACCCTCTCACTTTCTCACACACAGACACACACACACACACACACACACACACACACAACACAGACATATACACACACTCTCTCTAATACTTTCAGGTGTGACTATATTCAGAAACCAACTTACGTGATTAAATAAAAATTCATTCTGTTCCTCCTACAGCTCTGCTCTCTTCTGAATTAATATTATTTTTAGTCAGTCCTTTGCCCACAGTGTCCCTCAGCAGTGACAAGCTTAAATAAGCCCAAACACTGCCATCCAAGAGGAAAAGCCCATGGTTTCAACAAGACTCACTCCTCTAGGAGGAGATGCTATGTTTCTGTGGGCGAGCCTGAGCTGAATGTCCGCTGCTGCAACTGGAGATAGGGCCACTGCTCCACAAGACACAGAGGGGACCAAGGGGGCAGGCTAGTTCCTCAGGGCAAGCTTGAGCGCCGCTACCAGAAAACAGGGAATGGATGCTAGGCAGAAAATGGGGAATGGTCGCCCAGGGTGGAGTGCAATGGCGCAATCTTGGCTTACTGCAACCACAGCCTCCTGGGTTCAAGTTATTCTCCTGCCTCAGTCTCTCAAGTAACTGGGACTACAGGCATGTGCTACCATGCCTGGCTAATTTTTGTATTTTTAGTAGAGGCAGGGTTTTGCCATGTTGGCCAGGCTGGTCTCAAACTCCTGACCTCAAGTGATCCACCAGCCTTGGCCTCGCAAAGTGCTGGGATTATAAACATGAGCCATCAGGAAATGCAATCTACACTGTCAGTACTTTAGCAGAGTGTCCTATGAACAGAAAGACTCCACAGCTGTTGGCCAACAGGTAACTAACAACACCTACAGCAGCATTCACCTGCCAACAGACTGCTGCCAAATATTCTGGAGTTCTTCCTGACTTCACTCTTTCTCTGTCAAATCTGATGTGACAGCTCGTACTGCCGGTTATAACTTCAAACTTTGTCTAGAATCCAACCACATCACAATCTTCATAGTCACCAGCTTGGTCCAAGCCAGGACCTGGACTGCTTAGCCTCCTAACAAGGTCTCCCTGCTTCTGGCCTGGCTTTGACAATCTATTCTCCACACAGCAGTCCAAGAAATTCCAGTAAAATGCAGGTCAAAGAGAGGACGGCACTACACTGCCATCTCCTCCCACCAAGGGCATGAGTCAGCGCTGCTCTTAGCCTGGCTGGCCTTCCTGGGGCCCCTCCTACATCCCCACCCATCCTCGCCCATGCTTTTCTTCACATAGCCACCAGGCTCTACCTCAGGGTTTCTGCCCTTGCTTCTCGTATCCAGGATATTCTTTTCCTGAATTTCTTAAAGCCTCATTCCCTCCTTTACATCTCTATCCAAAGGTCACCCTATCTGTGAGACACTCCCTGAATGTCATTTGAAATTAAAGGCCCCTTGCCAGTATGATGGTTCATGCCTGTAATCCAGCACTTTGGGAGGCCAAGGCAGGTGGATCACTTGAGCCAAGGAGTTTGAGACCAGCCTGGGCAACATGGTCAAACCCTGTCTCTACTAAAAATACAAAAAATTATCCAGGAATGGCAGTGAATGCCTGTAGTCCCAGCTACTCAGAGTCTGAGGTGAGAGAATCACCTGAGCCCGGGAAGTCAAGGCTGCAATGAGTGGTAATGGCATCACTACATTCCAGCCTGGGTGACAGGAGTGAGACCGTATCAAAAAAATAAATAAAATAAAAATTACAAGTCCTCTTCCAACCCGGCTCTTTCCCCATAGTACTTACTGCCATTTGACCTATCTATCTATTTTCCTATTTGTTTGTCTGTCTCTCTGGAATGTAAGAGCAAGGATTTTGACTATTTTGTTTACTATTGTTCCAGCATATAGCAGTCGCACAAAAAATATCTTCCGAATGAATGAATATGTCCTCAAACCCTTTTTCTGGAAGCTGAGGGCAAACATGAACTACAGCAGAAAAAAAAAAATGTGGAAATCTTAATATGAAATTGTTTACACTTACTTGGCACAGCGTACCCAGTGTGTATGTCGATATAAGGAATACAGGAAGCGCTGGCGATACATGTTCCATACTTTTATGGATTTGTCCTCAGAAGCTGTAGCTAGAAACTGGCCATCAGCTGAAAAGTCTACACTTCGAACTGGAGCTGTATGAGCTTTAAATTCTGAGAACTTTCCTCTCCTAGAAATAAACAGTTTAATATTTATAACTCATTTGGTTTAATTATAGTTAATACTTAATCACAATACAAACTTCGAAACATGGAAAATAGTTTAAATAAAATGGTTTAACTCTTGTAAAACCTAACAAAAGTATGAAAAGGCTATGTTGTACTGTACTCTTCATCAACATTGAAATTTCCTTGAAATATTTCCTTGAAATTTCAGTGTTGAGAATTGAAGAGTAGAGAAAAAGAGAATGAAAAAAAGATGGAGAAAATAATGTGAGGCATTTGAAAAGTAGAAAGCCTTAAAACAGAAGCAGGCTAGACAGTGTTCGATTACAAGGTGATATGTGGTAAATGCTACTTTGTGTCAGTGTTCCCAGGTTCCCAAGGCATTTTCACCTTACACTGTATCCAGGACTTAGCAATTTTCCCATTTAGAAAATCATATTGACACTCAAGATGTTCTATGGGGAAAATTGTAATAAATGCTTGAAAAAAATCAGGCAACAGAATTTAGCTGGCCACAATATATTTCTCAGATGTTCAAATGTTCACGCTGATCTCCCATACACCTGCACCTCGTCCTGTATTTTGTTACCTTGGCTTGTCAGAGTGACATCGCCTGTGTCCAAGCCAGAAGCCTGGTATTCATACTCAACTCCTCCCCCTTCCTCTCCCACATCCAGTAAGTTAGCAAACCGTATCATCCTTACTTCCTAAATATCTTTCGAATCCTCCTCTTCTATGTCAGCTCTGCTTGCCTTAAGGTAGATATATCCTCAACATCCTTCACCTAGGTTATTGCAAAAGCCTCTTAACTGGTCTTCCTGCTCTAATCTTTTGTCCCCTTCTGGTCACCTACATATTGTGCTTATTACCTTGCTAAGAGTGTAACGCCAAGCATGTAAATCCTAGTGTAAATGTGTCACTGGCTCTTCTCCAAAAGAAAGCACAATGCCCAAAGGCTTTGGCGAGGCATCCTGCCACTACACTGAACTTTGTACTCAGAACAGTCACAGCACTTCAAACACACCCCTGCCTTTGCAATTATTGCTTTCTCAGGCTGGACTACTTCCTTCCCCCATCCCTAGGCCCCCTTGACCATGCCAGACAGGCTCCCTATCTGCTACAACGATTTTACTTCCTACACTGTACAGTGACTTTTTAAAGAACTATTTGTCTCCTCTTAAGCAGTACATTTTTGGAGAACAGGAATGATGATTTATTCATCTCTATAAGGCCACCATCTAGCAATATGTCAAGCACATAAAAAGAACTCAATACATGTTGAATTCCACTCAGAACAGTCAATAAAGGCTCTTAGACCCAACCTGGCTTACGCTTCCAGTGGTCAGTAGGGAGCAAAGGCGACTTTTATCATAAATTTCCATCACCTGACATATGATATTACTCATGAATAACTGAAATTAATATTAAACAAATATTAGGAGGGAGCATCCAGGGACTAGCTCAGTGAGGTTTTCAAGGGTGAATTTCGTGAGTGGAAATCAGAAGTATAGTTTGGCCTGAATCCAAGTATAATGTCTACAGAAAACAAAGAAAAGGCATCTGCAACGACCAGGAGGCTGAGAGACAGACTGTCAGTATCACCAAAATTTGCCCTGATTTTTAGCTCAGCATTCCACACTCCAGCAGGCTGTCCTCTTTGCCACCTTTCTAAAAGTCTCTCCTCTCAGCTGTAGGCTAAACCAAGCACCGGATCCAGTCTCAACAGGAAACAGAAGAAACCAAGATAGGAGTGCCTTGTGTTTGTTGTGCTAGTGCCTAACTGGTTTCCAGTTCCTCATTTTGACTTAATATAGGCTCTCTGCCTCCTAAATATTTACTTTCCCTTTCAGCCAAATTCTCTTGACTGTTCACTGTGACGAACTCTGGGCCAGACTTGCTTTCAGACTTGCTCCTACCTATTCTTTTCTTATTTATTTTTTTGAGACGTGTTCTCTTTCTGTGACACAGGCTGGAATACAGTGGTGCAATCACTATTCACTGTGACTCAAACTCCTGTGCTCAAGAGATCCTCCTTCCTCAGCCTCCTGAGGAGCTAGGTGTGTATCACCATGCCCAGCTAATTTTATTTTTTATAGAAACAGGGTTTCACTATATTGCCCAAGCTGGTCTTGAACTTTTGGCCTCAAGTGATCCTCCTGCGTCAGGCTCCCAAAGTGCTGGAATTACAGGTGTAAGCCATGCCACCTTCCTCTTCCTACTCTTTCTTAGCCTTCTGATCACCAGCTGTGGTGTGTATCTGTAAATATGGCTGCCAATACTCATCTCATCCCTGTACATGCATGTCTCTCCGCTTCACATGGGGTGGAATCTGTTTATTTCTCCTCCCTTTGAATCTGGGCTGGTGTTGTGACTTTACTTTGAGGAACAGAACGTGGCAGAAGTGACGTTTCAAGTTTCGGGCCTAGTCCTTAAATGGTCTAGCAGCTTCTGATTTGATTCTCCAGACAACCCAGAAAATCGTGACAAATCATTGTTTCTGAACTAACATACTAAGGTTTTAGGACAATCATACAGCAAGAGATAACTGACACATCATCTGCCTTCCTGTTGCCACAATCCACCATTATTGGTCTGGCCCTACTGTGACATGATTTAGTAAGAGAAACCAGGGACACCTACACAAGCCTAATCACTGTATTAAGATGAGCTATGACAAATTAATGATTCAGTGAGATTTCAGCTCATCTACCCTTATACAGTTTGTTCACGGAGATTTCCTTGAATTAGTAATGGGAGACTGAAGTTATGCTGTGCTGAAGATAGCAAAAAGGCTAGTTCTAAATTCCCAAAGCTAAGGATTTTGGAACATGCTTCTCCTCTCAGGCACCAAACCAGTTCCTTTTCCCTTAAAATTTCCTGCTACATTGCCATCCATTATAACATGTCACTCCTCTTCAACAGTTTTCACTACCATTGGAATAATAGATTTGTCAGCATAGAGTTCCCCCTGGGTGGTGGCAGAAAAAAATCACCCACTGGCATGGGAAGGCTGGCATGGGAAAGCCCATGAGCTTTCCTTTATTTGGGAGTGCCTGGGCCTGTTTAGCCACAGAGTACAAGTCAAATCCTGCCACAACAGTGTCAAGGAAAATGCTCAAATTATCTTTTTTTTTTTTTTCCAGACAGAGTTTTGCTCTGTCACCAGGCTGGAGTGCAGTGGTGTGATCTCGGTTCACTGCAAACTCCACCTCCCGGATTCAAGCAATTTCTCCTGCCTCAGCCCCACAGTAGCTGGGACTACAGGGGCATGCCACCACGCCCAGCTAATTTTTGTATTTTTAGTAGAGATGGGGTTTCACCACGTTGGCCAGGTGGTCTCGATCTCTTGACCTCGAGATCCGCTTGCCTAAGCCTCCCAAAATGCTGGGATTACCAGCATGAGCCACTGTGCCCAGCCAAAATCCTCAGATCTTTATCCTCTGAAGCAGTGGTACCCAGCCTTTTAGCACCAGAAACCAGTTTCATGGAAGACAATTTTTCCATGGGACCAGGGGGTTGGGGGGAAGGATGGATGATTTGGGGATGACTCAAGCACATACATTTATCAAGTACTTTATTTCTATTACTATTATTATTATTTAAGACAGAGTTTCACTCTTTTCTGCCCAGGCTGGGCAATGGCACAATCTTGGCTCACTGCAACCTCTGCCTCCTGGGTTCAAGCAATTCTCCTGCCTCAACCTCCCGAATAGCTGGGATTACAGGTGTGCGCCACCATGCCTGGCTAATTTTGTATTTTTAGTACAGACAGGGTTTCACCACATTGGCCAGGCTGGTCTCGAACTCCTGACCTCAGGTGATCCACCCTCATCAGCCTCCCAAAGTGCTGGGATTACAGGCATGAGCCACCACGCCCAGTCCTATTTCTGTTATTATTACATATTCACTATAATGTAGAATCAGTGGGAGCCCTGAACTTGTTTTCCTTCAACTAGTTGGTCCCACTTGGGGTGATGGGAGACAGTGACAGATCATCAGGCATGAGATTCTCATATGGAACGTGCAGCCTAGATCCCTTGCATGCACAGTTCACAATAGGATTTGTGCTCCTATGAGAATCGAATGCTTTCGCTGATCTGATAGGAAGCAGAGCTCTGTTGTGTGGCCTGGTTCCTAACAGGCCATGGACTGGTACTGGTTGGTGGCCCAGGGGTTGGGAACCTCTGCTCTGAAGTATTTATGGGGGGAAATAATATGATATGTAGAATTTGTTCTAAAAACACTCCGGGGGAAAAAGTGAGGGGAGGTGTAGATGAAACAAGATGGGCAGAATCCTGACAACTGCTGAAGCTGATTGATGGGAATATGGGGGCAGGGGAGTCATGCTATTCATTCTATTTTCATGTATGTTTGAAAATTTACATCCTTAAAGCTAATTTTGTATTTTTGGTAGAGTCAAGGTTTCATCATGTTGGCCAGGCTGGTCTCGAACTCCTGACCTCATGATCTGCCCGCCTCAGCCTCCCAAAGTGCTGGGATTACAGGTATGAGCCACCACGCCAGGCCAAGAAGACATAAATATGAGGAAAAAACTGTATGAATTAGTTTGACTTTACAAAAAAGGTAGCATGCCTTGTATGTGACTGAGACTAGTAGTTCAGATAGCAGTGCATGAGCAGCAGCCAGGCTCAGCTTTCTTTCACATTTCCAAATCCAAAACATAGCAAGTATTTATCTGTTTCTCTTACTTATCAGGAATCCAGAGTCTCACGGTTCTGTCTCGTGAGGCAGATGCCAATAAGTTTCCGTGTGGAGAAAACTGTACGCTGGTTACAACATCCTTGTGACCCACATATCTGTAAGCTCTAGCATGTGGCTTGAAATTCCATAGCATGAGAAAGGTATCCCAAGAAGCAGTAGCTATCAAGAAATAGAAGAACAAAACCATTGTTTGTTAAAATGCAAACATAGGTGTCTCTCATTACAATAAGCAGCATATCTAATAACAAGGCTTCCAGGTAATAGAGGGGCTGGAGGTTGTAAGGCTGACCAGGTAATAGCCAAATTACTTTTTTTTTTGAGATGGAGTCTCGCTCTGCTGCCAGGCTGGAGTGCAGTGGCGTGATCTCGGCTCACGGCAATCTCTGCATCCCAGGTTCAAGCAATTTTCCTGCCTCAGCCTCCCGAGTAGCTAGGACTACAGGTACACACCACCATGCCCGGCTAACTTTTTTGTATTTTAGTAGAGACGGGGGTTTCACCATGTAGGCCAGGATGGTCTGAATCTCCTGACCTCGTGATCCGTCTGCCTCAGCCTTCCAAAGTACTGGGATTACAGGCGTGAGCCACCACACCCGGCCCCCAAATTACTTTTTAAAGGTACTCAAAACTACATGACTAATATACAAGCTTGGCTGTGTCCTATGTAAGTACACAACAGGATGACTGCCCCCTGTATTCAATTAATGCTTAGTAACTTTATGTACTAGAAGGCCTCAGCATAGTGTAATAGAGGGTATATGGGACTAAGAGTCAGTTTTGTTTCTAACTCTGGGTAATGGAAAGCTACTTAACCTCTGTGTTATGATGTCATGAGGACCGAATGTTTTTCCTGAGAGGGATGGATGAGATAATTTTTCAAACTGTTTATGTGGAAATAATTTCACAATTACAGAAAAGCTACAAGAATAGTACAAATAACACTAATATGCCTTTTACCCAAATCTACTTGTTAATGTTTTGCTTCATTTGTTTATAATTTGCTCTGTACTTGTTTCTCCTTGTACATAAACACACATAAACACACATAACACACACACACACACACACATTTTTTTTTCCTGAATCATTTAGGAGTAAGTTATACAACTCATGGCACCTTTATTCCTAAATACTTTAGTGTTTTTTCTAAGAATACGGATATTCTCTTAACACACAGCAGTTATCAGCTTCATGAAGCTGGTTGTTAAAGATGCAATATGTTAATATACCAACTATATTTTAATTTTATCAACTGATCCAGTAATACTTTCTAACTGGATAAGGTGATCTTAAAAGTCTCTTTCTGCTCTACAATTTAATGGCATTGATGATTAATAAAAGAAACTTGTGTGTCAGACACTAGCTTAAGGGTTTACAAAAAGGAAAACAAATGCAATCAATGGTGGAGATAAATGCCTTGACTAAGAATGAACAAATAAACAAATGAAAGGTTGATCTAACTCCTGCCTAAAAAACAAATTTTATTATATGCATGTAGCCCTAGAATAGCCCCAATAATGGGAAGTAGGTCAATAAGAATCACTAAATCTGGATTGTAGAACACTTAGAAAAAATGTAATGTTAGAAACTTGAACACAATTAGTATAATTGTTAGGAAACAAATAGGATCTGACTATATAAAGTCACTGAAACCTATGTTCTTTTGCCAACATATAAAGTTCATTTGGGCCCAGCTCATGCATTATTTCCATGTAAAACAGTTAAAGTGTGTTCAGCTACAATATTGCTTAGCACCCCCTTTTTAAAAAGGTACAAAGAGTTAACATTCCATCAAAGCTTATCGAAATTACTAAAGATTTATAACAGAGTCTAAGTTATCCAAGGCTAATGTAGACAAAGCAGGGAAAATACTGAGTTATCATATGTATCAAACTCAAGACCCTATTTGAGTTCTCTGTATTATGCTGGAAACAAGAAACACAAAAGCAAGTAAGATATAGTCCTTTCCCTCAAAGAATCACATAGTAGGGAAGACATCATTAATAATACACATATGCAGAGGACTTTTATATATTATTTACTCATTAATGTTAGGTGGGGTGATTGGGTAGTCCATTCTGAGGAAAGGATGTTTGAGCAGAGAGGTGAGTGAAATGGGGAGTGATCCCAGCTGAGACATGGAGAAAGAGCACCTAGAAGAATGAGGAATGGCACAGAGTTCAGCGTTCCCACAGTAGAGGGGAGAGAAAGAGACTGGTGGGAGGGAAGCCAAAAGGGGGGCAGATGGAGGAGGAGAAGTCATGGTGGGAGGGGTATCATCTTATTCTAAAGTGCAATGTGCCATTATCCTAAGTAAATTAATGCAGAACAGAAAACCAATACTGTATGTTCTCACTTATAAGTGAGAGCTGAACATGAGGTACACTGGACATAAAGATGGCAACGATAGCCACAGGGGACTACTAGAAGAGGGAGGAAAGGTTTCAAAAACTAACTATTGAGAACTATGCTCACTACCTGGATGACGGAATCAATCGTACCCCAAATCTCAGCATCATGCAATATACCCAATATACCCATGTAACCCATGTAACAATATACCCTGCACATGTAACCCGAATCTAAAATAAAAGCTGAAATTATTAAAAGAAAAACTGCCTATCGATGATGGACATTTGGGTTGGTTCCAGGTCTTTGCTATTGTAAACAGTGCCACAATGAACATATGTGTGCATGTGTCTTTATATAGAACAATTTATAATTATTTGGGTATATACCCAGTAATGAGATTGCTGAGTCAAATGGTATTTCTATTTCTAGGCCCTCGAGGAATCTCCACACTGTCTTCCACAATGGTTGAACTAATGTACACTCCCACCAACAGTGTAAAAGTGTTCCTATTTCTCCACATCCTCTCCAGCATCTGCTGTCTCCAGATTTTTTAATGATCGCCATTCTAACTGGTGTGATGGTATCTCAATGTGGTTTTGATTTGCATTTATCTAATGACCAGTGATGATGAGCATTTTTTCATGTTTGCTGGCCTCATATATGTCTTCTTTTGTAAAGTGTCTATTCATATTCTTCCCCCACTTTTGAATGGGTTTGCTTTTTTCTTGTAAATCTGCTTTGGTTCTTTGTAGATTCTGGATATTAGCCCTTTGTCAGATGGGTAGATCGCAAAAATTTTTTCCCATTCTGTTGGTTGCCGGTTCACTCTAATGGTTGTTTCCTTTGCTGTACAGAAGCACAGGAGTTTAATTAGATCCCATTTGTCTATTTTGGCTTTTGTTGCCATTGCTTTTGGTGTCTTAGCCATGAAGTCCTGGCCTATGCCTATGTCCTGAATGGTTTTACCTAGGTTTTCTTTTAGGGTTTTTATGGTGTTAGGTCTTATGTTTAGATCTTTAATCCATCTGTAGTTAATTTTAGTGTAAGGTGTCAGGAAGGGGTCCAGTTTCTTCTTTCTGTACATGGCTAGCCAGTTTTCCCAACACCAGTTATTAAACAGGGAATTCTTTCTCCACTGCTTGTTTTTGTCAGGTTTTTCAAAGATCAGATGATTGTAGATGTGTGGTGTTGCCTCCGAGGCCTCTGTTCTGTTCCATTGGTCTATGTCTCTGTTTTGGTACCAGTACCATGCTGTTTTGATTACTGTGGTCTTGTAGTATAGTTTGAAGTCAGGTAGCATGATGCCTCCAGCTTTGTTATTTTTGCTTAGGATTGTTTTGGCTATGCGGGCTCTCTTTTGGTTCCACATGAAGTTTGAAATGTTTTGTTTTTTTTTTTTTCAGTCCATCATTGATAGACTGGATAAAGAAAATGTGGCACATATATACCATGGAATACCACACAGCCATAAAAAACGATGAGTTCATGTCCTTCATAGGGATGTGGATGAATCTGGAAACCATCATTCTCAGCAAACTGACACAAGAACAGTAAACCAAACACTGCATGTTATCACTCACAGGTGGGTGTTGAACAATTAGAACACGTGGACACAGGGAGGGGAGCATCACACACTGAGGTCAGTAGGAGGTGGCTAGGGGAGAGACAGTGGGGGGTGGGGAGGGAAGGGAGGGTTAATGAGGGGAGAAATACCAGATATAGGTGATGGGGAGATGACGGCAGCAAACCACCTTGCCAAATATGTACCTATGCAACAATCCTGCATGATCTGCACATGTACCCCAGAACCTAAAGTACATTTAAAAAAAATTTTTTAAAAAAGGGGGAATGATATTGAAAAAAATAAAAAAAGAAAGAAAAACTGCGACGGGAAAGTACTCTAGATTTTGAGCAGGCGGAATCTCATGATCTGGTTTAAGAACACTGTAACTCTGACAATAAGAATTTTTAAAAATTATATTCTCAAAGGAGGGAAATAAAATTATAAAAATAAAAAACAAAACAATTATGGTGGGTCAACTGGACATTCATAAGGAAGTAAATCAATCTTGATTCCTATACTTTATATCACATGCAAAAGTTAATTCCATGAAGAATATAGATCTAAATGTGTTAGGTAAAACAATATACTTTTAGAAGAGAACACAGAATATCTTCATGACCTTGAGGTAGGCAAAGACTGCTTTAAAAAAACACTAAAGTTAATAAGCATAAAGGAAAATAATGATAATTTATCTGTACAAAAACTAAGACGTTTTGTTCACTGAGAGATACCAATCACCAAGTAAGCACCAAGTAAGCCACCAAATGGCAAAGAAGATATTTACAACCCATATATCCAACACATAACAAAGTATGCATATACAGAATCTATAAAGAATGCTACAAATCAGCCAGGTATAGTGACTCATGCCTGTAATTCCAGCACTTTGAGAAGCCAATGTGAGAGGATCACTTGAGGTCAGGAGTATGAGACCAAGCAGGACAACATAATGAGACTTGAACTCTACAAAAAAAAATAGTAAGAATGCTACAAATCAATAAGAAAAAGGCACATTACCCAACAACAACAACAAAAAAAATAGGCAAAGGACTTAAACAGGCATTTTGCAAAAGAAGATACCCAAATGGCCAGTGAACATATGAGAAGGTACTCGATTCCATTAGTCATCAGGAAAATGTAAATTAAAACCATGATGAGATATCCATGCACTGTAATCATCAGAATGATTACAATAAAAAAGATAAATAACACCAAATCTTGGTGAGGATATAGAACAATAGGA